GTAGGAATAAGCCTTGGGCTGCTGATGGTGATTCTGTCTTCCTCTTGTGAAGTTAGAGGAGGTCAGAAGATGCTGCCTCCCTGACCTTTTCTCACAGACATATCACAAGTGGATGGCTGTAACAAACAGGGATTTATTCTCTTCCAGTCTGGGAGGCTAGAAGTCCTAGTTCCAGCTCTAGGCGTTGGGTGAAAGCCCCTCAACTTTGGGCTTTAGCTCTGCCTTTAGCTCCTGGCCCACTGAAGCTGGAGGCATCTCATAACTCAGGCAGCTGCTGGCTGCTTAGGCTGATAAACCCAAGGTCAACAAGTAAAATGACACAGTCCCAAATTATCAAGCAACAAAGCAGGCCATTAGTGCAAGTTCAGAAACAGTCTCAAGATGGGCCGACAACATGGCAGGCCACTGAGATGGACTCAGCCAAATGCAGGATCCAGATGTTCCAAAAAGCTCAGAGACCTTTCTCAAGGCTGTTTCTTATATACTGGAAGCAGACCACATCCCTAAGGCAGCTACTCAGCTGCTCAGAGTAAATTCCCCCATGGAGTTGATTATTAGTCTCATCATGGGGAATACTACATCCAGCTGCCTAGCCACTCCAAAGCAGGCCCAGCCAAGTTGACACACACCCTTAACTACCACAGCATGGAATCCAGACTTTCTGGAGCCATGGTGGCTGGATGAACCCTTGAAACAATTGCCCTGCGGTCATTTTTAAACCTTAAATCAACAATATCCCCTGAAGTCTTCTTAAAACCAGTAATAGTTTAGCTTACCTCCTGAAGAAGGTCTGCCCTGAACATGGTGCTCTTTGAAGGTCTATCTAGGGGATCAAACTGACACCAGCAACTGGAAAGGTTAGGTAGGAGCCTTAGGGGGCAGTGAGTTTATGTGAATATGGGAGGAACAGCTCAGAAAAGGGGGGTGAGAATGGTTGCCCAATTAGAAGAATGTCACTGATGTCACGGAATCGTACACGTACAGACTGTTGAAGTTGTCCATGTTTTGCTGCGTAGATTGTCAACAACATAAATAAATAAGTAAATTTAAAAATGTACAGAAAGCAAAGTTCATTAGTGGTTACAAGGGGTGGGGTGGGGGGAGTCATTGCTTAGGGTGCTCTGAGCATCTGTATTTAGCGTGATGGAGAACTTTGGAAATGAGTGGTGGTGACGGCCGCACAACCTGATGAAGGTGATCAGCATCATTGCACCATGCCTGTCGAAGACGTTGGAGTGACAGATGTTTAGTTATGTATACACTTGTTGTTGGTGTTATGTGCCGTCGAGTCAAACCCTATTCATAGCAACCCCTCCTTGGGTTTCCGAGGCAGTATCACTATGGAAGTAGGATTGTCCAACCTTCCTTCCGATACACTTAACACAATGAAAAAGAAAAGTCTGGTCCATGGACCAGCAGCATGGGCATCACTTGGGAACGTGTTAGAAACCCAGATTCTCGGGCACCCCTGCCCTGTGGAATCAAGGGCTCTGGGCTGGAGCTCAGCCATGTGTGTTTTAACAAGCCCTCCAGGAGATTCCAATGCTGGCTCCAGTTTGAGAACCATTGTCATAGGTTGCTGGGAGAATTCAAAACTAAAAAGTGAAAGGGAGCTCTGGTGGCGTGGTGCCTAAGGCATTTGACTGCTAACCAGAAGGCTGGCGGTTTAAACCACTAGCCACTCCTCAGAAGGAAGATGGGACAATCTACTTCCGTAGAGATACTGTGTTGGAAACCCAAGGAGAGGGTCCGCTATGAGAATTGTTGTTGTTGTTATGTGCTGTCGAGTCGGACCTGACTCATAGCGGGCCCTCCTTGGGTTTCCAAAGCAGTATCACTACGGAAGTAGATTGCCTAACCTTCCTTCTGAGGAGTGGCTGGTGGGTTTGTACCACCAGCCTTCTGGTTAGCAGTCAAGTGACTCAGGCACTATGCTACCAGAACTCCTGCTATGAGAATTACTAGGTACAAAATGCCCCATCGCCGGCACTGTTGGAGACTTCACTGTTACTGCTGTTATTTTGGTTATTGTTATTATTATCATTATGAAAGAGATCTGGGACTCCAGCCCTACAGGGTCTGGCTGTGCCCTGTCGCCTAGCCTTGTGGGGTCAGAGTCTGGGTCTGGATTGAGGCCTTCTTGCCTGTCTGCGTGGAAGTTGACAGTGAGCTGGGCTATGTCAGCCTGTCCCTGGTGAAAGGTTATCTCTTGGTTTGGGGACCAGGAAAGGTCGGGGTTGAGGGGGGCATGCTCGTGTCTTCTCTGCTGGAGAAGATAAAGGAGGTCACTTAGCTCCTGGACACAGGGTGGGGGGAGGCTGGGATATAAATGGGGGGCCCCTCAGAGGCAGTGAAGTCACCCATCCCAGGAAGGTGCTGGTCGAGCCCTCTCCCTGGTCTGAGGTGCCTCTGTCCATCATGGCCAAGCGCACGTTGCTGCTGCTGCTAGCGGTGTGGGTGCTGGCGGGGGAGCTGTGGCTGCAGGCAGAGGCCCGGGCTGCACCTTATGGCATAAAGCTGTGTGGCCGCGAGTTCATCCGAGCAGTCATTTTCATCTGCGGGGGCTCGCGGTGGAGACGTGCGGACATTCTGACACACGAAGCTATGGGTGAGGCTGGGCAGGGGTGGGGGGGAGGATGGAATGGCAGGGTGGGCTCAAGGAGCCAGGGACAGAGATGAGGCAGGGCCAGGTCCAGCTTGGGAGAGCAGCCCAGCACTCCAAGGACTCAGGGAATGGACGAACAGAGCTGCAGAGCTGGGGTGGGGACTAGAAGTCGGGGCATCAGTTCTAATTTCTCAGTGTGTCTACGCGCTGAGCCTGTGCTAAGCGGGCTACTGCTTGCACAACTCCTGGGGGCACCATTCGTGAGGATGGCATTGAAGTGCTTCCAGCCCTCTGGGGCTAGTAGCATGCAGGGTGTGGTGGGTATAAGGCCAAGTTTTGCCATCTAATGAATGTCTCACCTTGGCAAATCACTTCCCTTCTCTGAGCTTCTTCATCTGTGGAACAGGGCGGACAGCTCCTGTTGAGTGGCACAGCTGAGTTGAAACAGATAAGGATATGGTCTCAGTAGGGTAGGGGGCTCAGTCTGGGAATGGCAGAGGGCAGAGGGCCTGGTGTCAATAGGGCCAGGGGCCTGGCACCAAATAGATGTTCGTGATGATGGGGAGGGTGGAATGTGGCCACAGAAACACACCATTGTGTGTGCTTTCACACAGCAACTCTACAACTTAATAGCTGTGTCTTTTTGTACAAGTTACTCCACTCCTCAGGCCTTGGGAAAATGGAGTGATAAACCAGCCCCACACCTTGGGGTGCTGACATTGAGAAGAATGAAGGACTTAATCTACAAAAGCACTTAACACGGTGCCTGGTGCACAGTAAGTGCACAGGAAATCATCAAGGCTATTTGGAGTGCTTATGCCGTGCCAAACACTGTTCTATGTTTGTTTTGGTTTCCCAAATTCATTTATTCCTTAGAAAACCCAAGAAGGTAGGAGAGTTATTTTTCCTAATTTGCAGACAAAGAAATTGAAGCCAAGAAAAGCAAATTCACTCATTCGCTGTTTAACTCAGAGGCTGCATTCATGCGCAGTCAGCCTGGCTGTGTGCTCTTAGCCATCAAGTCCTTCGTAAATAAACAGCAGGGGAAAAGAAATAACAGGAAAGGAAAGTCAAGCTCAGTGAGGTTGAATAGTCTGCCCATCAGAGCTAGTGGTCTGGGATTTGAACCCAGGCCTGACTGGAATGAAAACTTTAACCTAGGAGACTACATCACAAGAACAGAGAAGCAGCCGGGCCAGCCAGGAGCCAGGACTAACTCTCCTCAACTTTTGCAGGGGATGCCTTTGCTGATACGGACACAGACGCCTATGGGGACAGCCTGGCAGGAGAGCTGGATGAGGCAATGGCCTCCAGCGAGTGGTTGGCCATGACCAAACAGCCCCAGACCTTCTATAGAGGGCGGCCCAGCTGGCAAGGAACCCCAGGGGCTCTGCGGGGTGGCCGTGATGTCCTGGCTGGCCTCTCCAGCAACTGCTGCAAGTGGGGGTGCAGCAAGAATGAACTCAGCAGCCTCTGTTAGTGGGGAGTGCTGCGTAGCCCAAGGCACCATGCTGATACCCCAGCTCCACCTTCCACTCACCCTTACACCCCTGTCCCAGCCCTCCTGGTGTCCCCATCCCACTTTTTCCTGATTCCCAGCTCCTCTACCTGCAATTCTGCCTTCCTAACTCCAGGCTGTGGCCCCCAGGGTGGCAGCCTGACCCTTGGACTCTCTTCCAAACCTTCAATGGGGGCGTGATACGGGGAGGGGTCAAAACCTTTCCGGTAGATACCAATAATAAAAGTTTTAAAGAACTTCGCAGCCTGTGTGTGGTGGTGTTGCTGGGGCAGGTTTCAGGGAAGGTGGCCCCTCCCTCAGCATCCCCCTCCAGACGCCCCCAGAAGACCTCCCCACTCCCTCCTCCCGCCCCAGAGATTGCGCCCAGGACTTTCCGTCACGGAAAAGGGGCGGGGACCCAGAGCGCAAGGTGCGGGGGCGGTCCCGAGGGAGGTGACTGCTTCCCGTGGCCGCCTCGGGCTCCAGACCCACAGAGGGAGCCTAACCGCGCGGCGTCCCGGCGGCACAGCCTGGGGGCGCTGGGACGCCATGCGGGGGGCCCGGGCCGCCCCTTTCTGCCTGCGGCCGCTGCCCCAACTCTACCTGCTACCTCTTTTGTTTCTGCTTTTGAACCGGATTCGTCCCCAAGGTGGGTCTGGAGCGCTCTGAGGTCGGGCGATGCCGCACGGGGCTCACCGTTCAAGCGCGAACTTGCCGGGGTGGGCCAGAAGTTCGCGGAATGAACGGCAGAGGTCCAGACGCCGCTCAGCCCCTCCGAAGCAGGCACCGGGCGAAGAGGGGAGCTGGGGAAGGGGCGGCCTCGAGGTCGGAACCCAAGCCGCGGGGTGGGGGTGGCAGCTCACGGGGCAGCGACAGGATGTGGCGGGCACCGTTCTCCGGCTGGCGGAGAGAGGGGAGGACTGTGGTCTGAAACCAGGTAGGGGTGCCGGGCTCCCCCTTCCTGCTGTTTACTTCCGTAAGGGACCCCCAAACTCCTTCGCAGTTGCCTTAAGTGCTGGAGTGCGCGGTGACCCTTCCTTGGACTCTCCCCCTCTCTAGGCAGCCTTGGGCCTATGCAATGCTACCGAGTTGGACTCTTGGGTGACTTGAACTGCTCTTGGGAGCCACTTGGGGACTCAGGAACCCCCTCCACGTTGCACTTCCAGAGCCAAAAGTAGTGAGTACACAGCATGGCATGGGAGAACCGAGGCCTTGGAGGGGTGGGAGGATGGAAGCTGAGAAACCCTGGAGTCCTGCCCTCAAGCCTCCTCGGAATCTCAAGCCTTTCTGATCCAGATTCCTCCATTTTTGCTGTGTGACCCTGGACCTATCACTTCCCCCCTCTGAACCTCTGTTTCCTAACCTATTAAATCATGAGAACTCTGGTGACCTAGTGCATGAAGCACTTGACTGCTAACCAGAAGGTTGACGGTTCCAACCCACCAGCCACACCGCAGAAGGAAAACTGGGCAATTTACTTCTGTAAAGATTTACTGCCTCAGAAACCCAAGGGGTTCCCTATGAGTCGGAATGGATGATAATGGAACCTACCTGCCAGGGTTGATTCTGTGGATTCAATGAATTAAGCACTTGGCAAGGAGAATATACATAACAATTACTTAAGAACTGTTTTTTGGTGCTGTGTGACTTTAGGCAAATAGCTTAACCTCTCTGAGCACCTGAAAAGATCATTTGTTCAATTGGCAGTGCTGTTTCAGGCATTGGGCGCATGCAGTGGCAAATGAGGCAGGCAGAAAGCCCTGTCCTGGTGGAGCTCACAGCCTGCCAGGCAGACAGGCATCCCTTAAAGATGAATCACACTTGAAAACTTACCATTTTAAAGTCTGCTGAAGTGAGAGAAGAGTGAAGGGGGCCTCAAAAGGTGGGAATGGGGGATGGGAGGCCTGGTTTTAATTGGTGGAGGTTGAGGGGTCAGCAAGGTCCTGTTTTAAATTTATTTCAGTGAGGTGAAATTCATATAACATTTATTTTAAATCATTCGAAAGTGCACAGTTCAGTGTCATTTAGGACATGCACTATGTCATGCAACCACCACACCTATCTAGTTATAATATTTTCATCACCCCCCAAAGGATACCCACTCAGCAGTCACTCCCTGTTCCCCTCCCCCTGCAGTTCCTGCAACCACTAATCTGCTTTCGGTCTCTATAAACCAAACCATACTCACTGCCATCAGGTGGATTCTGACTCAGAGCAATCCCCACTGGGTTTCTGAGGAGGTAAATCTTTATGGAAGTAGATTGCCCCATCTGCCTTCTGTGGAGCAGCTGGTGGGTTTGAACTGCCAGCCTTCTGGTTGGAGATCAAATGCCTTAGGCACCGTGCCACCGGAGCTTCTTTCTGCCTGTACATTTCCCTATTTTGCACATTTCATATGAATTCCCCTTCATACAATGTGTGACCTTTTACGTCTGGCTTCTTTGACTGGGCATAATGTTTCTGAAGTCCAGCCATGTACGTATGAGGGTCTCATTCCTCTTTACGGCCAAATACTCCATTGTATGAATATACCACAGAACTTATCCATTCATTCATCTGTTGATGGACATTTGGGCTACTGTAAGTGCTGCTGTCGTGGACCAGTATTTGTGTGAACACCTGTTTTCAGTTCTTTGGGGTATAGTCCTAGGAGTGGAATTACTGGGTCATACAGCAACACTCTGTTTAAGTTTTGAAGGAAATACCAGACTGTTTTCCAAAGCAGCAGCACCATTTCACATTCTTAGCAGCAATGGACAGGGGTCCAGTTTCTTCATCCTCACCAATACCTGTCATTTTTCTTTTTCTTTTTTTTTTTTTTTGATGAAGGCCCTGTTTTAAACCTTTGAAATCCAAACCTCGGGGACTTTGTCTCCTCGTTTTTACCCATATCTGCTCCATCAGCATGTTATCTAGAATCTGGCACCTCTTCCCACCTCCTCTGCTCCCACCTGGGTTGAGACCCTGCCGTCTCCCACCTGGACCAATGCATTCACCTCTACTCTGAGCTCCTGGTTCCTAGTCTCACTTCCCACAGGCTGTTCCCTCCATAGAAGAAGCAGAGGGTGAGTGTGAGCATCTGAGTCAGGGCACTTCCCTCCTCTGCTTAGAACCTTCCATGGCTCCCAGCTTGCTGTTAGGTGCTGTCAGGTTGGTTCTGACTCATAGTGACCCTGTTACAATAGAACGAAACACTGCCCAGTCCTGCACCATCCTCACAATCATTGCTATGTTGGAGCCCATCATCGCAGCCACTGTGTCAATCCATCTCCTTAAGGGTCTTCCCACTTTTTGCTGACCCTCTACTTTACCAAACATGATACCCTTCTCCAGCAAATGGTCCCTTCTGACAACATGACCAAAGTCATGATCATGTCAAAGACAAAGTATGGCCATTCTTGCTTCTAAGAAGCATTCTGTCTATACTTCCTCCAAGACAGATTTGTTCGTCCTTCTGGAAGTCCATGGTACATTCAGTATTCCTTGCTAACACCATAACTCAACTGCATTAATTCTTCTTTGGTTTTCCTTATTCATTATCCAGCTCTCACATGCATATGAGGCAATTGAAAATACCATGGCTTGTCCGGCATACTTTAGTCTTCAAAATTACGTCTTTGCTCTTTAATAATTTAAAGATGTCTTTTGCAGCAGATCTGCCTGCAGTCTGTTTGCAAGGTTTCAATAAAGGTGGGTTTTACCCAACCTACTCTGGGTAAAAGCTCCAGTTAGCTGTGTGGCCCACAGGCCTTGCGGGATCTGCCTCATCACCTCCCTGCCCTCATCTTCCCAACTCACCCACCTCCCTCAGTCCACTTTAGCCTCATCACTCCTCCTCAGACACATCAGGCCTGGCCTCAAGGCCTTTGCACTGACTGTTCCCTGTGTCTAGAATGCTTTTCCTCTAGATATTGCATGACTCCTTTCTCACCTCTTCACGCATTTATTTAAATGTCTTCTCATCCAAGAGACCTTCCCTGCCCGCCCCTCACTAAAACAGCACCATTATGCCCTCCCTCCATCATCACACCATATCCTCCTCACTCTGTGTGAGCCTGTATTGCTTATCACTGCCTGACATGACATCAAAAATATATTTATGGGTTTCCTGTCTGTTCCCTACTGCGATGTCAGCTTCAGAGGGCAGAAACATGTCTCCTTTGGTCCTAGCTCTGCCCCCAGGTTCTAGAACCAGGCCTGACACAAGAAATACTTGGTGACTGAATAGTTGAATGTATGTAAATGTAGAGATCTCCATATGCCTCAGCGTGTCTCTCACACCCCAGCTCTGCCTGCTGTTGTTGCTTTGGTGCCATCAAGTCGGCTCTGACTCATGGTAACCCTACGTATAAGAGAATGAAACACTGCCCAGTCCTGCGCCAGCCTCACAATTTTTGCCGTACCCGAATCTATCGTTGCAGCCACTGTGTCAATCCATCTCATTGAGGGCCTTTCCCTTTTTTGCTGAGGCTTCACTTTACCAAGCATGATATCCTTTCTCCAGGTTCCAGTCCCTCCTGACAGCCTGACCAAAGTAGGTGAGACAAAGTCTAACCATTCTCGCTTCCAAGGAGCATTCTGGCTGCACTTCTTCCAGGACAGATTTGTTCATTCTCTAGATGTCCATGGTATTTTCAGTATTCTTTGACAACACAATTCAAATCCATCAATTCTTCTTTGGTCTTCCTTATTCATTGTTGAGCTTTCACATGCATATTAAACCACCAAAAAAACCAAACTCACTGCCATCAAGTCGGATCCGACTCATAGTGACCCCTCCTTGGGTTTCTGAGGCAGTATCAGTATGGAAGTAGATTGCCCAATCTTCCTTCCAAGGAGTGGCTGGTGGGTTTGAACCGCCAACCTTCTGGTTAGCAGTCAGATATCTTAGGGACTACGCCACTAGGCGATTGAAAATACCATAGCTTGGGTTAGGTGCATCTTAGTCTTAAAAGTGACATCTTTGTTCTTCAGCACTTCAAAGAGGTCTTTTGCAGAAGATTTGCCTGGTGCAATACGGTGTCTGATGTCTTGACTGCTGCTACCACAGGTGTTGATTTTAGATCTAAGAAAAAAATGAAATCTCTGACAACTTCAATCTTTTCTCCATTTATCATGATATTGTTTCTGGGTCCTGTTGTGAGGATTTTTGTTTTCTTTATGTTGAAATGTAATCCATACTGCAGACTGCAGTCTTTGATCTTCATCAGTAAGTGCTTCAAGTCATCTTCACTTTCAACAAGCAAGGCTGTGTCATCTGTGTATCACAGGTTGTTAATGAGTCTTCCTCCCATCCTGACGCCACCTTCTTCTTCATAGAGTCCAGCCTCTTGGATTATTTGCTCAGCAAATAGCTCTGCTTGCTAGCTTGTGTTTAATTTCTTTTTGTGTCTCAAAAGAAATTGACTTAAGACACCCTATACACACTACTCTTGCCTATAACCATAACAAAGACAGCCCATTCTCAAGTGGCATTATAACCACAGGCATAGAGGTTAGGATTTGTAACACATATTTTGGGGGGACACAGTTCAATTCCTAACAGTAGGTACAACAACAGTAAATGCTTACATACCATGTATTGTGTCCCTGACACCGTTCTGAAGGCATTCCATCTATTAGCCCATTTATTCCCCTCCCTGGCCTGTCAGTTTATTGCCCTCATTTCTTTGGTGAGGAATCTGAGGCACAGAGATGTTAATTTGCGTGCTCAGTGTCACACAGCTCTGAAGCAGCAGAGCTGGGAGTTGAACCCGGGCAGTGCAGGCTCCAGCCACCACACTAGACAACTTCTCTGCCAGCCCTAAGATTCCTGTCATTACGGCTCTGGGTCCAACAATGTGCACCCTGCCCCAGCATCTCTCCCTATAGTCATCTCAACAGGACCCAAGTTGTGGCAGTGCCCCCCGGGCAGAGTTGGGTGACCATTCCGCGGGAACAGTTCACTGAGTTTGACACACTCCTCGTCTGGGGAGCCAAGGCAGATGGGTCTGTCTGGCCCCCAGTCTCTGTGGACCTAGAAACCCGAGGTGAGGTGGTGGGAGGGCGCTCTCTGTGGGGTGGGTGGTCCTGGAGGCTCTGGCTCAATGCAGTCCGGCCTCTTCCCCAGTGAAGCTCGGCGCCCCGTGGCTGTCCCCCGACATCGAATTTTTAGAGGATGGACCCCTGGAGACCACTGTGCAGTGGGCCCCACCCACATGGCTGCCTCATCAGGAGGACATGGTTTGCCAGTTCTACTACCGACGATGCCAGGAGAAGGCTTGGACCCTGGTGAGTGTCAGGGGTCAAGGTCTCTGTTCAGCTCGGGCAGAGCCCTAGGGCATCACTCTCAATTCAGAGACCCAGCCCGGGGCTCATGCCTCACCCGCTCCTGCACGTGTGTCTTCTTCAGCTAAAAGTTTTCCCTAAAATAATCTATAAATTCCATGTAATTGCAACCTAGATTCTACTTGGAATCTTTGAGAAACTCAATAAACTTCTTCTAACATTTTTATGAACAAATAAAAGTCCTCAAATAGCTTGAAAACCAAAACCAAACTCATTGAATTGATTCTGACTTACAGCGACACCTATTGGCTTGCCCAGGTGGTAAATCCTTATGGAAGTAGATTGCCCCATTTCCCTTCTGTGGAGAAGTTGGTTGGTTTGAACCGCCAACCTTCTGTTTAGCAGTCAAATGCCTTAGGTGCTATGTCACCAGAGCTCCTTCAAATAGCTTAAGTTAACCTTAAAATAGTACAGGTAGCTCCCACCTTATGATGGAGTTCATTCCAATTACTTTGTCATAAGTCGGTTCTGACATAAATTGAGTACTTTTTTTTTTTTAGTTTTTATTATTATTGGCTTTTATTATGAAAATTTTTATAAATTTGATCTTTGTCTTTGAGGGTTGGGAACATTTTGCCTGAAGATAACATCAACAAATTGCACACTGCAACACTGTATGTAGTACGGATTACTAAAGGGATGATGTACACACATAGAAAAAGGAGTCATAAATGTGGTTGATCGTACATAAATGGGTCCTAGCTCAGAGACTGCCTGTGATGACAGCAGCAAACCCTTCCAGAGCAACTGCTGTGTGCCAGACACTGTGCTAGGCTCTTCCCAAACATGAGTTTATTGAATCCTTGCGAAACTCTGTGAGAAACGTTCATTTTACATCTGCCCATGTTTCAGATGAGGAGCAGGGCCTGGCTTCCAGTAAATATTTTAAAAAAATTATAAAAGCAGGTGATACTTCTGAGTAAAGATTATCTTGATGAGTCCTCCCAACCTCCCTGTACAGTAGATGCTTTTTAAGATCTCTGTTTTACAGTTGGGGCAGCTGGACCTCAGAGAAGTTGAGCACCTTTCCCAAGGTCACACAGCAAGATAGCAGAATGCAGCTCTAGAGCTAGTATCAGGGAGACCTGCCCATGCATTCTAAGGGCACAACCTGGAAGTTTTACATATCATTTCCTCTCATCTCTTATTGGCTGAATGTAGTCATAGGGCCTCACCTGACTGCACGGGAGGCTGAGAAATATAGTGTTTATTCTGGACAGCCATGTTCCCCATTAATACTCAGGGATTCTGTTTCTGAAGGAAGAGGGGAGAATGGATGTTGAAGACAATCAGTTGTCTCAGTCACAGCTCTTGATACAAAATATCACAATAAAGAGCAGAGTTATTGTCATTGTGGTTATTCATGCAATTCCAAGCAACGGTAGATGCAGACTTTGGAATCTGACTTCCTGGGTTCAAATCCCAGCTCTGGTAGTTACCACCGCTGTGGCCTTGGACAAGTTACTTCACCTCTCTGACCAGATGAGCTTCCTCATCAAAATGAGGAGAATAATAGACTTACTGCTGTGTACATAGGGTGCCCAGCTAGTCCTGGTTTGCCTAGGATTGAAAGCCCTAGGTCTTGAGAACCCCTTCAGTCCCAGACAAACTGAGACAGTTGGTCACCCTGGTAGCACAGAAGAGTTAGCTACTATCAGGTCAAGTACCCTCAGTTTAGTCCCTGGCCTCGCTTCTCTCCCCTGTCTCTCCCTCAGCTGGAGCCAGAACTGAAGTCGGTACCTCTCACCCCTGTCGAGATCCACGACCTGGAGCTGGCCACTGGCTACGAGATGTCTGGCCGCTGTCGAATGCAAGTAGAAGAGGAACTGTGGGGCGAATGGAGCCCCATTCTGTCCTTCCAGACACCGCCCACCGGTGAGGCTCTCTGGACTTGTCCCCAAACCTTTGTCCCTGCTCCTGGAAGCCTGACTTATCATGCCTGTCTCTTTTGTGTCCCCATCTTCATCTATATCAGCTCCGAAAGATGTGTGGGTGTCTGGGAACCTGTGTGGGACACTAACTGAACAGGAAACCCTGCTTCTGTGGAAGGTGAGCTGCAAGCACCAATTCATTACATTTCTCTGCACATGTCAGGAAACCCCAAATAACAAAGATGTAAGGAAGATGGAGATTATGGCAGCTCTACCATTCCAGTGTCCATCACACTGCTCTGCCATGTCTTAGGTGTTGCCTCATAGACACAGATGGCTGCCTGAGCTCCAGCCATCATATATCTAGTGTAGGCAGATGCAACAAGTTTTCTGTTTTGTTTTTTAATCTCCATGAGTGGAGAGAACATTAAAAAATGGTAAAGGCTGTGGGAACACTTTTTGCTTCCAGGACAGTGTCCCATCCCTAGCTCATGCCACCAAATAGCAATCACTGGGGCAAGGAAGAACTTCTACAAATTGCCTCAAAATTCTCTCAGGGGAGTCATCCTTTTTTGCTACATGTACCCATTCCTCTATACAACAGTGAGAAATCTGAAATTCCTAAGAACTGCACGGTACACATACCATGGTGGGGCCACTCAGGCATTCACCTAGGGCACAAAATTTAAGGAGTATAAAAAACTCAGTAATCAAGATAAATAATAATTGAATGCAATATTAAAAAAAAAAAAAAAAAATCAAGTCACCAAACTATGGCCCGTGGGCCAGCTGCCTGTTTTTGTAAATAAAGTTTGATTGGAACCAGGACCAGGATTAAGGTGGGGTGAGTGAGGCAGCATCATACAAGTGCAGGGCCGGATCCTTAAAATGTTGACATTTTACTCACTATGGTTTTTTTTCCTTTTATTATGGTGAAAACATACACAAGACATTCACCAACACAACTTCCACATTAATAGCTCAGGGACATTGATGACATTTTTTCCTTTCTCCTTCCCTCCTACCTCTGGCAACCACTAATAATCTTTACATACATATGATGGCAGTGAGTTTGGTTTATATATATACACACACACACACACACACACACAGGAGCTCTGGTAGCGTAGTGCCTAAGGCACTTGACTGCTAACCAGAAGGCTGGCAGTTCAAACCCACCAGCCACTCCTCAGAAGGAAGATAGGGCAGTCTACTTCCGTAGTGATACTGCCTTGGAAACCCAAGGAGGGGTTGCTTGAGTTGGGCCTGACTCGACGGCACTTAACAACAACAACAATATATACACACACACACACACACATAAAAATACCAAACTTACTGCCGTTGAGTCCTTTCAACTCATAGCCAGCCCTCCTTGGGCGTATCTCTATGGGAGTAGATTGCTCAATCTCCCTTCCAAGGAGGAGTGGCTGGTGGGTTTGAACCACCAGCCTTCTGGTTAGCAGTCAAATGTCAAATGCCTTAGGCACTACACCACCAGAGCTTTTATATATGTGTGTGTGTGTATGTATGCTGTTGTTGTTGTTATTTGCTGTCGAGTCGGCCCCGACTCATAGCGACCCCTCCTTGGGTTTCCGAGGCAGTATCACTACGGAAGTAGGATTGCCCAACCTTCCTTCCGAGGAGTGGCTGGTGGGTTTGAACCCCCAGCCTTCTGGTTAGCAGTCATGTGCCTTAGGCACTATGCTACCAGAGCTCCCATGTATGTATATGTATGTGTATATATACATTTTTTTTTCCTTAACCTATCTAGCAATTTCTTCTCCCCTCCCTCCCATCCTTGGAAACCAGCAAAGAAAATTTCCTTGCATATATAAACCTTTCCTTGAGTTTTTACAATAGTGGACTCATACAATATTTGTCCTTCTGTGATTGACTTATTTCACTTAGCATAATGTCCTCCAAGTTCATCCACATTATGTGGTGTTTTGTGGATTCTACATTATTCTTTAGTGTTACATAGTATTCCATTGTGTGTATGTACCATAGTTTGGTTATCCATTCTTCTGTTGATGAACACCTAGGTTGTTTCCATCTTTTAGCTTTTGTAAATAGTGCTGTGATGAACATCAGTGTGCATATATCTGTTCTTGTCCTGCCTCTCACTTCTTTAGGATGTATACCTAGTAATGGGATTGCTGGGTCAGATGGTATTTCTAATTCCAGCTTTTTAAGGAATCACCATACTGCTTTCCACGGTGGTTGTATATCATTTGACAATCCCACCAGCAGTGTATGAGAGTCCTAATCTCTCTACATCCTTGCCAGCATTTGTTATTTTCTGTGCTGTTGAACTTTGCTATCAGTGCTGGGGCCAGATGATACCTCATTGTTGTTTTGATTTGCATCTCTCTAGTGACTAATGATTGCCAACATTTCTTCATGTGTTTGTTGGCCGCCTGAATATCTTCTTTGGTGAAATGTCTATTCATGTCTTCTGCCCATATTTTAGTTGGATTGTTTGTCTTTTTGGTATTGAGGTGTTGGAGTTTTCTTCATCATGTTTTTTTTGTGTGTGTGTGTGTGTTACATGTTTTGTGTGTGTGTGTGTGTGTGTGTGTTAATTTTGAGTTACTAAAGTACTGTATTAAAATATTGTTTACCTGGATTACTGGGTTTTTGATGTCCCCTTAAATTTTTCACCCAAAGTGAGTGTCTCATTTAACTCACTCTCGTCCCAGCCCTGGAACCCCATTCTAATCCTGCCTGTGCTATAAATGGAGCCCTTTAGAGACTCAGTTTCCTCATCTTTAAAATGGAACCAACAGAACTACTTGGCTGTCTTAAGAGCTATCTGGATGGATTAAGAGGAGCTGTGGTAGCACTGTGGTTAAAACATTGGGCTACTAATCAAAAGATTGCTGGTTTGAACCTACCAGTGACTCCATGGAAGAAAGATGAGGCAATCTGCTTCCGTTAAGATTTACAGCCTTAACATACAGTGCTGCGTTGTCAGTGAAGACAAACATTGATATATGGGTGGATAGATGGGTGGACATGCTGAACTATTAGATTGGGCAATCTACTTCTGTAGTGGTACTGTCTCGGAAACCCAAGGAGGAGTCACTGTGAGTCAGATCTGACTTGATGGCAGTGAGATTTTTTTTTTTTTGTTATGTGGGGGTGGGGAGTGTGCCTATGATTATGTATAGGGTTGATAGACAATGTTTCTACAAGTGTATTTGTATGTGCTGTAAGAGTTCCTCAGTATTAGAAGAGACAAAACTGTAGTCACTTCTTGGCCATAGCCAGCTACCCAGAGGGAACAAGTGCTTGGACCTGTGTGCTCAGGACCATAGTCCCAGGGGACATCAATCTCAGTTGGCATAACATACTACACAAAACATTGTTCCACATTCTACTTCGGCAAGTAGTGACTAGGATCTTAAAAGCTTGCAAGCGGCCATCTAGATGCAATGATGGGTCTCTCTTCATCCAGAGCAAAGAAGAATGAAGAAAACCAAAGATTCATGGGAACAATTAGTCCAAGCGACTGGTATACCATCCTCAGCCTATATGACTATGAGACTAGAACTAGATGGTACCTGGCTACCACTGTCAACCACTCGGAAGGGGATCTATGTAGGGGATCCTGGATAAAGTGGGAAAACAATGTGGAACAAAACTCAAAATCATTAGGGGAAAAAAAAGGAACAGGTTTGCTGGTCTGATAGAGCCTGATGGAACCACTGAGACTATGGCCCCTAGCTGCCCTTCAGGTCTGGAATTGAACCCACACCGTGGCTTCCAACCAAACAAAAGACAGGCATATGAGCTGAACATTTACACTAGGTAGATACACTCCTTGGAGAGAACAATCAGGAGAGA